CCGCTGCTGCGGGACAGCGAGCTCTTCCGTGCCTACGTGACGGTAAGGGGAGGGGGTGGGGGCCGGGGCCGGGGCCGGTGCTGGGGCCGGTGCCAGGGCTGACACCCACGTGCTGCAGTGGGCTGAGAAGCACGAGCAGTGCAGCCGCCTGAAGCTGAGTGACATGCTGGTGAAGCCCCACCAGCGCCTCACCAAGTACCCGCTGCTCCTCAAGTCCGTGCTGAAGAAGACGGATGACCCATGCGCCCGTGATGCCATCACCGCCATGGTAAGGGGCCGGGGGCACAGGGTGGTGGGGTGCAGCGTGGGATGGTCCCCCCCGGCCCCTCACACCCACCGCCCCGGCTGCAGATTGGCTCTGTGGAGCACTTCATCAACCACGTCAACTCGCGGATGCGCCAGCGGCAGGAGCAGCAGCGCCTGGCCGCCATCCTCGATCGCATCGATGCCTATGAGGTGGTGGAGGGCAGCACAGACGAGGCGGACAAGGTAGGCTGGGCATGGCGGAGCTGCTGTGTCTTGCCACCCCGTGTCTTGCCACCCCATGCCATGCCATGCCATGCCATGCTATGCTGCTCAATGCCACCCCATGCCATGCTACCTCATGCCATGTCATACCACCCTATGCCACCCCATGCCATGCCATGCTACCCCATGCCACCCCATGCTGTGCCCGGTGGTGACACCAGGGGCTCCCGGCAGCTGCTGAAGGAGTTTCTGCGGCTGGACCTGACGGCCCCCATCCCCGGCACCTCCCCAGAGGAAACCCGGCAGCTCCTCCTTGAGGGCAGCCTGCGGATGCGGGAAGGTAAAGACAGCAAGGTGAGGACCACGGGGGACGGGGGGAGCCTTGGCCCTGGCCCCTGCCTGCCTGCCCCTGCCCGCCACGCTGGCCAGTGCCCACAGCCCTGCTCTCACCCCCAGATGGACGTCTACTGCTTCCTCTTCACCGACCTCTTCCTCATCACCAAGCCCCTCAAGAAGGCTGAGCGCACCAAGGTGGTCCGGCAGCCCTTGCTGGTGGACAAGGTTGTCTGCCGGGAACTCAGGGACCCGGGTGAGTGGCACCGGGGGTGATGGGGGCCACAGGGGAGTCCCCAGACACTGCTGACAGCCCCTGCCCGCAGGCTCCTTCCTCCTCATCTACCTGAATGAGCTGGGGAGTGCCGTGGCCGCCTACACCTTCCAGGCCAGTGGGCAGTCGCTGTGCCGCAGTTGGGTCGAGGCGGTGCGCAATGCCCAGGTGAGGGGCGCGAGGGCGGGCGGGTGCCCTGTGGGTACCCCATGCCTCTCTGATGCCTCCCTCTCCCCAGAACCTGCTGCAGCAGCTGCGGCAGCGCCGGCGCCTGGAGGAGGAGGAGGAGGACGGCGAGAGCAGTGCCTCGGCTGCCAGTTCGCCCACCGTCCTGCGCCGTGGCAGCGCCAGCCCGGACTCACAGCAGTGGTAGGGAGTGGGAGGGGGGCCCCGCGCACCCCTGGCCTGGCGCAGCCCCCTCCTCACCCTGCTGCCCCTGCAGCCCCTCCGATGGCTCCACTGAGACCCTCGCCGTGGTGGCGGCAGACGGCGGCAGCGACGAGCTCTCCTCCCCGGACTGGGATGCGGGGCCCTTCAGCTCAACCTCGGATGGATCCTCCGTCAGCACCGGCACCTCCGCCGACAACCCCACCTCTGCTGAGACCCCCACCTGGGAGCTGCCCGCGGGCACTCTGCCTGTACCCCTGCCCCATGGCACGTCCCCCCTGGCCAGCGGCTGGCCCTCCATCGACAGCGCCTACGGCACGCTCTCGCCTGCCTCATTGCGGGACTTCAGCCAACAGCCGGAGGGGGCAGCTGAGGAGGGGCGGGAGCCCCCCTCGGCCCCACGGCCACCCTCGCCCCGGCTGCGCCGCCGGACACCTGTGCAGCTCCTGCCCTGCCCGGCCAGGGTGCTTAAGTCTAAGTCGGAGGCCAGCCTGCCCCAGCTCCTGCCCTCCGGCCCCCTGGCCCCCCTCAGCCAGAGCCGCAGCCTCTCCAACCTCTGTGCCGGCCCCCCCTGGACTAGCCAAGCCGCCGGCCCCCCAGCTGCCCCTGGCAGCAGTGACAGCTCCACCTCTGAGCTCTCGGAGCTGGAGGAGTCGGTGGAGAGCCCAGCGTCCCTCCCAGGGGAGCTCAGTCGCGAGCCCCCGCCCGCTGCCCGCCGGACCCTCTCAGACCCGCAGTCGGCTCAGCACCGCAAGCTGACACTGGCGCAGCTCTACCGGATCCGGACCACGCTGCTGCTCAACTCCACGTTGACCGCCTCGTAAGTGCGCTCCTGCCCACTTGCTCCTGGAGGATGATCCGGCCCTCCTGGATGCTCGCTGCGGCCAGGTGCCAGGTCCCAGGGCTAAGGGCATCTCTCCCCGGTCTGTGCCTTGCAGGGAGGTCTGAGAGCTGCCGGGGCGGCAAGGACGGACGCGTGGCCATGCCGAGGAGCTGCTCCCACTTCTAACTGTAGCGTAACGCCGGGGCTGGGCAGAGCAGGCTCTGGGATGCCGCATTGGTGGGGACACGGATGGGGATGCAGACCGGTCCCCTCAGCAAGGACGTGCCCTGGGCATGGCAGCACAGGGCTGCCTGCTTCTCCCCAGAGTGGGGACGGACATGGCATATGGCTCGTGCCGAACCCTTGTCCGCAGAGATGAGGGTTGTTGGTTGGGGCCCAGCCCCCCCATGGTGCGTCGGGCAGGGGGCCCTGGGGACGCGGGGCCTGCGGAGGGCTGTGGGGCGGCTCCCGTGGGTGAGGAAGGGATGATGATGTTGGCGGTGGTGAGTGAGGAAGGTGCTGAGAGGGACATGGCGCTGGCAGTACAATGCTGCGGGCGGCGCAGGGAGGAGGCTGGGGCTGGTGGCAGGAGGGGACGGTGCTGGGCTGGGGCGGGTGGTGGCCCCAGGGTCTGGCTGGGGCAGGGTTTGCCCTGTGGGGTGAGATGGGCGGCAGAGAACGGCAGCGCCCGGGGCCAGAGCATGGGAGCCAAGGGGGACGTGGCAGCGGTGGGAGCGCTGGCTGCTGTCCCGTGCCGGGCTGTGCTCCGCGTCCTGGCTGAGCAATAAACCCAGCTGGTGCACGCTCACACCCGCCTCGCCTCTCCTTTGGCCGTGGTGGCACCCTACGACTGGGCAGCACTGGGATGGGCACACAGCACGACTGAGGGAACCGCGCCGGGGCTGGGGGCGGCTCCAGCTTTGTGCCCCGGGGCTCAGGGTGGGGATGGAGCCCTGGGGAGGGGCATCAGTGCTGCTCCCTGTACCCCCCGCATCCCTGGCCACGGTGGGTCCGTGTCAGCAGGAAAGGGAGGACGGTGGCCAGACGGCCTGTGGCAAGGCGGCGCTGGTCCCTCCTGCACCCAGCGCTCCTGTCATGTGGTTTCATAACCCCTGGACTCATTGCCAAAAAAGCATTTCCTCCTGCTGCGGTTGGGTGTAAAAGCCTGTGTAAGGAGGGCTGGTGCTCACTAACCACGCGTTGCATGCTGCTGGCAGCGGCGGCAATGGTGATGGGGTGTTGGGGCACCCTGCCTGGGCGCTGAGCTGCCCTGACACCCCACTGTGCCCACCACCCTGGTCCCCTTGCTGCCCCGGCATGACCCAGCCGCACTGGCCACAAGGATGAAGCGCTGCTGCCTGGGGGCGGCTTGGGTGAGTGCAGCGGTGCCGGCATCCTGCGGCCTCCTGGCACCAATTGCAGGGTGCCCCGGGGCCGTGGCCATGGGGGGGTCTGGAGGAGGAGGGGAGCGGGGCAAGCCCAGTGCTAAGTGTGCTGAAAATGCTCGCCCCCCTGGCTGAACACCTGGGACTGGGGTCTGCCTCGCTGAAGCGCCTGCAGCGCGGCATGGCCACAGGGAACTGCAGCCTTGGCACAGCCACGAAGACTGTAGGCATGGCCACGATGCGGCCGTGGGAACTGTGGGCTCAGCCATGGGGCTGCAGGCAGGGCACTGCCATGGGGACCGGCTGGGGGGG